AGAGCTGGCTGGAGAATTCTGGGAGTTGAAGTCCACAAGTCTTAAAGTTGCCAAGGTTGGAGACCTCTGATCTAGTCCAACCCGTCTCTGTCAGGGATTCCCTGGAGCCTCAGGCAGAGGGCCATTCGGCCCATTTCAAGGCTTCCAGCCAAAAAGAGCTCAGGCTTCCTTCATCTGGCTCCTTGTCAGCTCACACAGCCCAGTTTCTCCTGATGTCTAGCCTGAGCCTCCTTCCTTGCAACGTTAACCTGGCTCTTGTCCTACCAGAGGTGGCAGAGGGCGAGCAGAATAGCCCACTGTCCCCTCTGCGTGGTCTCTTCGGCTATTTAAAGATTGCTGTCCTATCTGGTCTTCTGTAGATGAAACACACACGCACCTCCTTCAACTTCTCCCACTGTGCAGGTCTTGGGTTGTGGGCCCTTCACCATCTAAACTTGCCCCAGTGTGCCTGTCTCTCCAGGCCTGGAGGAATATTCCCAGCAGGTCTCGATGAAGGCAAAGGAGAAGGGGAACAATGGCTTCCCTTATATGCTTCCCTTAAGTCCAAAATCACGCTCTTCTTTTGGCAGCGACATTACACTCCTAAGCCCCACATTTTGCTTGGGAATCTGCTTGGGGTAAATGAAGCTGCTCTTGCTTCCCCCACATTCCTCTGAGAAATACCCTCGGAATTGATCTGGCAGTTCAGGGGATGGAGGAGCGACTGTAAGCGGAAGCCAGGATGCGAGAGTTGGCGGTTGCTTGTGGAAACATGTTTAGGATTCAGGAGGCTAGCGACAGTTTCAGAAAGGGACAGCACGCCATCTCTCCGTGGATGAATCAGGCTGTCCCTCACCCACATGATTCCTCACGTTTCTGGGTTTGGTTTGGTTTTGGTTGCAGCTGAAGGTGCAGATCGCCTCCCTTGTAAGCACGTTGGAAGAAGAGCGGCAGCTGATGGAGAAATATGCGAGCCGCATCCAGGACATCAGAGCTGCTCTGAAGACCTGGACAATGGCACCTCCACCCGCCGTCTAGGGGACTGCGCAGCAGAGGACTGGCTCTCCGTCTTTCCTTCGGCCTGGCCGGAGAAGCTGCGCCCACATCATCGGCTTAGATAGGCCCTCAGAGGACCCTCAAACTGAACCACCCCAGGAAAGAAAGAAAGAAAGAAAGAAAGAGGGGGCTTGCTTTTAAGAACGCATCTTGTAGAGCATTTTTCCAAAATTAAAACACGTTAAAAGTCAAAGCATGGTCAGTTCTTATTTTTACTTTAAAACATTTGCCATTAATGAGTTAATGTCTTTAAGTTGTACATTTTGACATACAAAAATACTGTGCTACTGATACAGTTGAAAAATAAAAGGATTCTCCATGTTGGAGAAATTTCACAGCGTCACCAAGAAACCCACTCCCGTCCGTTTAGGGTTTGGGTGACCCCCTGAGCCCACAGCTCCACCGGACCTGGCCCAGAACCACCACCTGACCGAGACCAACCGAAGGGGCTCCTCTGCAGCAGAACCAGAGCAGCAAGAACACCGGAGGCTCAGTCAGAGTCTTACCGCAATGCAAGCAAAGAGAAGCAAGTAATTCCTCTTCACTGACAGAGCAAGGCACAGCTGTCTGTCGCGTGTCTCCTGATGGCTTCCTTGGGCCTTAATGGCAGCAGAGCACAGGATGATGTTGGAGGGTTAAAGAGCTGTTTTCTGGTTAAGGATTTCACTTCTGCGTTTGGGGAAGGAAGGGACCAGCCATCCCGGAGGACCACTTTCTGCCTTTCATCCCTCACAGCCACAGAAAAAGGCCCTTATCATAGATAAAGCAGCATCTCTCACGCAGGACACAGGTCTGATCCTGTCCTGTTCTACATTTAGCTACAACCTGGTTGTCTCCTAAAACTACTGGCCATTAAAAAAAGAAGAGAGAAATTTTGGGGTGTGTGGCATAATCCCAAAGTCTGGAACCTATAAATTATATTTTAGGGCAACGTGGGAGAATTTATTGTGATCAATTCAGATTCCTCCTCAGCCTCATCCTTGGATAGCGCCAGCAGAGAGTTAGAAGCTAACGCAGAGGAGAAGAGACGAGAATTCGTTCATATTCCCAATGGGGTGTTTGAAGGGGTGCCGGGCAGAGTCCACTTCCCCGCACAGAGGGAAGAGAAGCAAACTCTGATCCCTTGGACTGGTGTGTGTTTTGGCAAGCCAGGTTCAAGAGAGGCAATCTGATATCCCCCCTCCCCTCCCTCCCCTGTGCAACACAGAAAAAGTGAAGGCCCAGCACAGCAAGACAGTTTTGGAAGTTGGAGTAAGCTAGAGGAAGAGGCCAGCTGGGCTCCTCCAGTCCAAAGCAAGTGCAACGCTGAACACGGAGGAGACAGCGCAAACCTCTGCTTTAAAGGGAGAGAATTAGGTTTTGGGCATGTTTCTTAAAATCGGATTTCAAGCTGCATTTTCTTTCTGATTAGCCCTCTCCCTTCTCTGGGATTGGACTGAAAAATTGGTTGAGTCCTGTCCCTTTAAAGACGGGTGCCTCCTCCTGCCCTTCCTCTTCCTCTGGACTGCAGAGCTTAGGGCATCTCAGTGCAGAGCTGGAGGAGCAGCGCAGAGGCAGGCGGCGGCTGCTGCTGCTGCAGGTGGAGCCAGGGTAAGAACCTGCCGCCGTTCCAGAGCCCGGAGGGAAGGAAAACCACCCGATCCGCGTTCTTAAGGGCCACGGTCCCCGGTCAACCCGCAACCCTCACGGTGAGACGGGCCCGGCACCCCCAAGTGGAGACGAAGGACTCGTTCCCTTCACTCAGGTCCCGCTGAGCAAATACTCCACCATACTGAACGGCTTCCTTGTGTGAACGGAGTCCCTGTCCATAGAGAAAAACCCTCCCCTCTGACCTCCCAGGCCTCAGAGGGACCCCAAAGCTTCCCCAAAGCGGATTTTCTGGCCAGGCTTCAAGTAGAAGTTAAAATCTTTGGGCGCCTCAAAGATCAGAACGATTGTTGAGCCCAAGTTGAATTCGCCTAAATGTTCTCCTTTCCTCATGGGAATCCCTTCGTGGTCCTTGCCGGTCACAAAGCTGAAGTCGTTGAAGGAGCCTTTGCTGTAGCGAGGGCTGTTGGTCTGCAGCTTCTGCCAAGAGAGGAGAAAGGAGCAGGAAAGGCGGTTTACCTGGCAGGTGAGCAAGACGCAGGCAGCCACGTTCACTCCTCCCCCATTGCCTGAAGTCGCTCTCTGCACGGAAGATGCGAGGGGACCGAAGGGGGAACCCAAGGGTGGCGGGTCCTGCCTGGGCCTCAGAAGGGGGCTCTGGTACTCCTGGGGAAGCCCTGCCACCCTTGGCTCAACTCAGGTGTTTCCAAGAGTGGAAGCTTCCGGAGTCCACAAACCACTTAAGCTGCCCCCCCCCCCGGCTGCCCACTCAATCACCTGGTGGCCCTCCAGCTACTCTGGAGCCTGGTCTCCTTGTGCCTCTGAGGCCAGTAGACAGAGATGCCGGGGCTCACCCACACCTGAGGGCTGCACGCACCACCCACCCGTGCCTCCCTTTGAAGTTCCCTCACCTGATCGCAGTAAATGCGGATGGATCCCACGTTCTGAGCTCCCACTGCTGTCAAGGAGAAGAAGCCGTGTTTCCAGTAGCCCGACAGGACGACCCGCTCGTTGTGGCAGAACAGTTCTTTGATCCAACGTGCTACGCCAGGGTTCACAGACATCAGGGCACCTGGGGAGAGAGCAAGCAGCTCTGCTTTGGCTTATCCAGAAGCTGGGAACAGAACTGCGATGGTGGGAGGGGAGATGCCAGAAGACCATCTCGGGGCCCCTTTGACGCACTCTAATGTCCCCAACAATGTTGGAAAGTAGCTCAGCAGAAGATTAAAGACAAGGTCTACCAGAGAGGGATTGTCCCTAACATTCATTGAACTTGGTTGCCCTGGTGGCACAGTGGTTAGAATGCAGGATTGCAGGCTGACTAGCCCACCGTCTGGAGTTCGATCCTGGCTGGCTCAAGGTTGACTCAGCCTTCCCTCCTTCCGAGGTGGGTAAAATGAGGACCCCGATTATTGGGGGCAAGAGGTTGACTCTCTAAACCGCACAGGGGGCTGTAAAGCACTATGGGGTGGTACATATTGTAGGTTTTAGTGCTGGTGCTAGTGAAGAGAAAGGGAGAGGAGGTCTGTGGGCCACTGTCGGTTCTCCCACCTGTGGAAAGGAGGCCTACCTGGGAAGTGACGCCGATGAGAGACCTTCCAGTCAGTGGGGGAGTGGAAGCAGTGGTAGTCTCCGGGGGCCAGGTATATCACACAATGGAACAGCTCATTGCTGTCTTTTGTGACCAGCTGTTTTTGGAAGGACTCGCAACAGGAAGCTGGAAAAGAGCAGCAGAGAGAAAAAGGCCTTTCTGAGAAAGAAGCGCAAGGCTGCCCAGTTCTTGATCCAGCAACTCAAAATCATTCCTTCCTTCACCTGCTCCAGACAAAAGCTAACGGCTGTTCCAGGCATCACCTGCAAGTAAAGGAGGTCCCAGCCCAGCCCGGAGCCAGAAGACCAAGAGGCAACTGAATGGGGAGGAGGGCACCTGCAACGGCCACCCGTTTTTAAAACAAAGTAAGTCTAAAGGTCCCTTGAGACTCGGAGATGGGAACTAGCATTTTCTTGGCAACAATTTGGTTTCCAGAGCATTTACCGCTGCATATGGTCTCATTCAGGACATGGAGAAATTGAGAAGCGAAGCTGGAATGCCGATCTTGAGCTTTCGTTCCAGATTCATTCCTGATGAAAATCCAGAAACCAACACAAGAACGGTGGAGGTGCACATTTCCCTGCATGTATTAATAGTAAATATACAGCCACCAGGCTGAGAACACCACTTATTCCTTGTGTGTGAGGGTTAGGAGCCGAACAGCCATTGGGGCACCAAACGCTGCAAATTTGACTTTTGGGGGGGAAAAAAACTACCCTGGAGACCACGACATCTTCTGACGAGAGATCTGGTCATCCTTGGCCACAGAGCAGACCACGATGATCAAAGGTCTGCCTAAGACCTTCTCTCGGTCCAACCGACCCCGTGGGAAAGACGGAGAAGGAGTTTGCCTCCTTGGAGGACAAGCAGAGCAAAGGAGGAGCAGAGAAATTAAGGGCATTTCTCCTTGGTCCTGGGCTGCATGGCCTCCTCATCGGAAGGCCTCCTCCCGCAGCACAGACAGGGCTGCCTTCCATGGGTTGCCAATCTCTTGACCCCAGTGCTGCCCCTTCCGCTGAGGGTGGGGGGGGGAGGCAGTGCAGATGCAAAGGGCACCTGGTTCCTTAACTCCGCTTAACTCCTCCTGATGCTTCCAGGGAGGGAGGGAAGGCTGGCTGCCTCGTCTTGGTGCAGTTCACCTTTCTGGCATGAACCCTGCCCAGGGAGGGAGAGGGCTGCTCTGTTGGGCAGGGCTCCCCTCCGCCCGCTAGCAGACTGTCCGGAAAGAAAGAGGCTGGTGCTCAAAGGGAAAACTTACTTGGGTCGTTTTGGCAGTCGTCGTGATTGGCATGGGGACCCAGGAAGGACTGGAGGGAGTAAGTGATGCCTTTGACTTGTTCCACTTCACAGTTCTTCACTTGCCCAAAACTGAGGATCTTTCCGTCCGAAGGACTGATCTGTAGAGGAGAAAGAGTAAAAAAGAAGCTGGATGCTATTTTTCTCTTCCGCTTCTACTAAACAGTATCAATGGTTACTCTAAATTGACAGTATTTTGCTCTTACTTTCATTAAATGCAGTAAGAATAACATGGATGTGATTAACCTACCCGCACAAGCAGCATTAAAACAACTTTAACTGAAATTTAAAGAGGTTTCCTAGGACCTCCCTACCCAAAAATGGAAAAGGAGGAAGCAGAGCCAGCTGCCCTTTGACCAAGAAACTGACCACGCTGTGCCGGTCGCAGACGGGCCTCGCCTGGGGTTTCAGCTTCCGTCGGAAAAATTCACTCAGGTTCCGGTAGTGATGGAGGTCTTCCACGGCCGCCTCCTTCATGTTCACCCCAAAGGTCCAGATGTAGAGGCTCAGGACGGGCTTCCGCAGCCAGGTGGGCAGCTCCACGTTGTTCAGCCGGCCCCACGCACGGGAGAGCAGGCGGGTTGGCACTGACTTGTACAGGGAGACCTAGAGAGAGTGGGGGGGGGGAGCAAGGAGTCAGCCAGGTGGGCCATGGAGCGGCCACAAGGGTCATGGGCAATTTGAGGGAAGGGCTCCGGGCTCCGGCATCCACCCCCATTCAAATCATGAGTCTCGAGCCGCATCCCTCAGAGTGACAAAAAAAAAACAACCACCCCAAGATTTATTAGGAGTGAACATGCTGGTGCTACCTGGATGCAGCCGACTCTGAGACCCATCCTTCATTTCCCCCTTGACTCTGGTCTTCCCCCCCCACCCCCTGGATGTATATTCTCCAATGGGACACATCCATAGCCAAGAGTCATCATCAGGCTCTCCAGTAATAATCTTGCGCGCCAGAAGCTTCGGCCAATTATCTATGAAGCATTTAAGGAATGCACTGCTTCCCCCACTCCCTTTCTGCTGTCAACTCTAAAAGACCAGAGAAATATTTCTGAGTTGACAGAAGGAAGAGGAAAATCCCCCTGGTAAAAGTTTCAGATCAGGAGCAGGGACCTTCCTCCCTTCTGGGATACTGAAACTGGGAGGGCTGGTATAGACCCTCGATGTGGGTCTGTTGTATTAACACAATCTGCTTTGTATTTAGCTGGAACTCTGTCCTAACGGTCTCTGAGAATTAGACACGACTGAACGGAAGACCAAAAACAAGAGACCAGGGAACCCGCTATTAAAACACTTCCACGTGGAGCTCTGAGGAGGGCTGGGATGGGCACAGGGACACAGGGACGCCTCCGTTCGCATCACAAGTTTTCCCCAGCCTCGGCAAAGAACCCTTTCCGGGGTTTCCTTGAGAGATTCAGGAGCCCTGGGTCAGCGTTCCAACTAACCAACTCCAACCCAAGAAACTCCGAGACAGGCATTTTCTCAAAGTTCCACTTTATTAGAGTTGTCATATTGGCACATCTGGGAAAGCCCGACTCTGAGAGTTCCAGGTTTTCCCTTCCCAAAAGAGAAAATCCAAGGTCCATCCCCTGCACCCATCAGTCCATCACATGGGCCAATCAAATCCTCACCCCAACTGGAGACATCCCGCCAATCACTCCCCTCCACGTGCAGGGCAACATGTCCTTGACTTTCTGAGAAAGAGGGTTGTTGAGTCTAATCTTCCACCTCTCTGTGAAATCCCCCCTCCCAAATTCCCAGGCACTAAATGGGGCAGCTTCCAAGGCTGACACCATTTGCATCTCAGCATGGGGTAGCCTACTTCTGGAGAGAGGGTTGATTGGGTGGTTAATGGGTTTTGATAGCGGAAGGCAGAAGCCACCTGCCCACCACCTTCACAAAATCCATTCCGGAAGGAAACGCAGAAAAGTGCTCTGCACTGTTTTTCATTCTTCATTCCAGAGCACCCTCTCTCCTCTGCCTTCACATATTTATTAATATTGGAGGAAGAAGTCAGAGTTGGAATGAGCCCATTTTAACCTGCATAAAGCAATGTTATTACAGATGGCTAAGAACAACAGCATGTTGACTATGACTATTGACTATGACTTACATTTCTGCCTTTGGGTTCAGAACCAGAGACTGCAGAAGCTGATCAATTATCAGTTGTAAGGAATCAGCCCCACTTTTCCTGGCCAATGCAATTCCCCTCCCTCTTTCCCCCAGAGGCTGGCCTGCTTAGCTCCTTGGTCAAAAAAGGCCCATCCAGCTCAGCCTGCCTTGACTCAAGCCAAGTGAAGCTCTGTCCTCTAGATCAGAGGTCTCCAACCGTGGCAACTTTAAGCCTTGGCAGACTTCAACTCCCAGAATTCCCCAGCCAGCTTAAAGTTGCCAAGGTTGAAGACCTCCGCTCCAGACAGGTTTCCTCCGCTGGTCCTGGATCACGCGGTAACAGTGGGAGAGAAGTTTTTCAGAGCACTGCAAGGCTGGAGCTTCCTCCTTCCTGAAGGCCCAAAGAGCTTTGCACCTCTGGCAAGGAAGAAACACCTGGACATCCCAGACATCTCAGCATAAAATGGGATGACCCCAGCCTTGAACCTGATTTTGACAAGCCCAAAGAACCAGAGCCACACTTATAGAGTGCTAACTAGCTACTTTATTGTTCACTGCCAATAATACAGGAATCTCCCCAGACTATTTAGTGCCTGGGAAACACCAACTAAGGCTCAAAGACATTGGGGGTGTGAGTGTGTCACACTTTGCCCTCTTGCATTTACATAGTGAGGTCCGGACTAATTCCCTGCTTGACCCCTCCGGCCGACTGGGATGGTTGCTCTTCAATAGATTTACAGCCCACAAGCCTTATGAAATTAGGCTGCAAACACTCCGTAGCTTCGGGTTGGGTTTTGGTAAAAAAATGAAAAAGGTCAGCAAGCCATTGTACAAAATAATGAAACTTTAAAAGGAGAGAGGGGAGAAAGCATCCAAAAGTGCACCTTTTGCCCTAACAAAGTGTAATACCTGCCTACTGCAGGTTCACCTGATGGACCATGACCAAAAAGAAAGCCAGGCTCATGAAGGACTTAGACCCCAAACATCGCATGATGTCAGAATAGAGTCAAGCTGGAAGGGACCTTGGAGGTCTTCTAGTTTATCCCCCTACTCAAGCAGGAGATCATTTATACCATTTCAGACAAGGGCCGATTATGGCTTTGGCCATAAATTTCAAAGAATTGAACAGCTTACTTTATTTAATATTTCCCGTCCTCCTCAGCAGTTACTGAGACAAACTAATGGATAGTTAAGATAAGCTTGAAAATTATATATTGATATTATCATGATTCTACTGTAGTTTTTGCTGTTGATTTTATGGCTAGACTTGATCCAAACTCTTTATACGTGCTTCAAGTATCATCTGCAAATTTAGTAATAGTATCACTCACGCTAGTAATCCTATTAGTAAATTTGCAGATGATACAACAGTGGTGGGACTCATCTCCAGGGGGGATGAGTCTGCCTACCGAGATGAGGTGGACCAATGGTTGCTTTCGTGGTATGGAGACAATAACTTGGTCCTCAACACCAATAAGACCAAGGAGCTTATAGTGGACTATAGAAGGAACAGATCAGACCTCCAGCCCTTGCTTATCCATGGAGACCGAGTGGAGCAAGTGGCCAGTTTTAAGTTTCTGGGTGTTACCCTAAAAGAGGACCTGACCTGGGGTGCCCACATTGCAGCCCTGGTCAAAAGGGCCCAGCAGAGATTATACTACTTGAGGCTTCTCAGGAAACTACAACTGGATGAAAAACTGCTGGTGACCTTCTACCGCTGCACCATAGAGAGCATTTTAACATACTGTACCTCTGTATGGTTTGTCAATTGCACAGTGGCAGATAGGAAAGCACTCCAGAGGGTTAATGTCATTGCCCTTCAGAGGATCCTGGGTTGCCCTCTCCCCTCTTTGAAAGAGCTTCATAGCTCCTGCTGCCTTAAGAAAGTTCAAAATATCCTCAAAGATCCATCTCATCCTGGACTCCCTTTTTTTGCACTATTACCATCTGGCAGACGTACAGGACAATAAAAACAAAGACAAATAGGCTGAAAAACAGCTTCTATCCCAGGGCAGTAGCTCTTTTGAATTCTACTGCGTAGTGCAGTGTTAGTGCGGTGTTGGGGGGGTTCGATTCAATGTGCGGAGGGTGAAGGATGTGAGTTTGTGTTTATTTTCATGGTCATGGTGTGCACTGAAGATGGTATTGATTTCGTTGTACAAGGTGCAATGACAATAAAGTAAACTAAGCTAAGCTAAAGTGCTGATTCTCCCCTTCAAGTAACGGCTTAATCCATCTTTGGTTTTTGTCCCTCCAAGTATAAATGATCACAGGGACCAGCACCTGCCCCAAAGGATCACTGACTCTGACTCAACCCTCTTGGGTTTGTAGAAAGGGATCATCAAAGGGGAATATATATACTGGGGCAGATTTGGTGCCAGAATTACAGGTTAGTTCTTGTGTCTCCAAAACTGATAAAAATGTCTTTAAAAAAAGAATATCCCAGCTTGTAGAGATGGCTTCTCTTAGACTGTGAAATTAGCGTGCAGTATGTTTTCCAGGGCAAACCTGCCTGGCCAAGGCTCCCACAGGGAGAAGGCTCTGTCCTATTATCTGATCTAGATGGGAGACCACAAACTCATTATTTTCAAAGTCACCTATAGGATTCTGCAGTATGTCATCAACACTGCTCTGTACTTCAGTTGAGCCCATTATCTGATGACTCATGTGAGACCAGGACACCTTAAATTCTAATTAAATTCCGCCTTTATGCAGAGATCTTTGGCATTCTTGGAGGCAATTTATCCTTGGAGATAATTTTGGGTCTTTATGGAAGATTGTAGAAAGTGTAGCTTCTGGGCCCAGGGTTTAGATTCATTGGGTTTCAAGAGAACCAATGTGGAGCTAAAAGAACCGATACTTGTTTACGACTTCCAAAGTAGCTGGGATATTTTCCACTTACTATTACAAAGAAAGTTTGTTTACAAGTCCCTTCCCTTTTGCCCATTGTCATAAATATTCTCTTGTTCTCCCTAGAAGAACCTTCTCAGTAAGACTCAATGCTTCACCCTCCATGGCTTTTGACGGGAGATCTTACATTCCTTCACCTTCATCTCTGTCCTTCTCTGGACAGGGTGACTTCAGTCAATTTCTCACGCACCTGTGGGGGGCCTTTCTCCCTCATTTCTGTTCTTAGCAGCAGCAGAGTCCTCTGCATAGCTGGCTAAGGAGTTCTGGGAGTTGAAACCCACCAGTCTTAAAGTGGCCAAGGCTGGAGACCCCTGCTCTACCCTGATGCACAGCAGCCACCCCACCCACTGTGCAAAGCAATCTAAAGCAGAGCCTTCAAGCCCTCGTTCTGCACTACGGAGAAACCGGTCATCAGTTACCGAAGATAAAAGGTATGGGTGGTGCCATTAAAAAGTGTATTGCTGGAGGCTCAATGGCACCTACAAAGAGCAACTTAAGGCTTCTAAACGGGAGCCATTTTTCAATCTTCTACTGCTGAAAAGAACAACAGCTGTTACTGCCTGGGGCCCTACGACCATGAAGGC